TAGTCCTAGCAGGTTGCTGTTTTATTAGGGCCACAAATTGAGTCAGGAAGCAGGACGGGTATTTCTTCTGAAGGACACAGCAAGAAGTACACGGGCCATGCACAGTGGCTCATACCAATAATCCCAGCACTTTGAGTGGGGGCTGAGGCAGGAGGATCCCTTGAGCCCAGAAGTTTGAGACCAGCCTGGGCAACATATCAAGAAAGTGTCTCTACCAAAAAAAAAAGGGAAGAAAAGAAGTATGATACAGTCTAGTCTCAGGGCAAACTGAGATTCTAGCTCTTTACCAGCAATCTCATCATAGGCAGCCCTTTGTGCTGATACCCAGCACATCTGAAGTTCTGTATGACTGCCACTTATACACTCAGATGTTACAGAGAGGAGTCAGATTCAGCAAGCACCAGTGTGCACTCACCATTTCCTGCTATGGTGTGAGGGTGCTGAGGAAGAGAGTAGTGGTGATGATAAGTAATGATGCTGCTGCTAGGATGGTGGCTGGTGATGGTGTTGCCGAAGTTGGGTTGGTGGTGATGACAGTAATCACAATAGTTAACATTAAACAGGTGCCAGGCAACATTCTAAGTGTTTTGTATGCGAAACTCAATCTTCATCCCACCACAATGCCATATGCAACATTATTATTTCCATTTACAGAGGAGGAGACTGAGGCACAGCGAGGTTAGGTCAGTTGCCCAAAGTTGCAAAGCTAGTAGGAGGCAGAGCTTTGTAACTGTTCTTCCATACATAGATGGAAATCAGCCCTGCCTTTGGGGACCTAGAATCACAAAAGAGCAATTATAATGGAGTGTGATGTGTGCAGTAAGAGTAACACAAGATGATGATGGTGGGGTGGTACTTGGCATTTGCTTGATGCCAGGCACACCTCTAGGTGCTTACATGTACCTTCTCATTGAATTCCCCAACAGTCCTATGAAGTAGGCTCTTTTTATCCTGTTTTATAGATGAAGAACTCCAGGCCCAAACTGGTTTAAGTTATTGGCTAAAGGTTACACAGAAAATGGCAGAGCCACGATTTGAACCTATAATCTGTGCTCTGTCCTTAAGAGATAGTGCAAACTGGCGGCTTCTGGAAGCCTCACAGAGAGGCAGCATTTGAACCAGGATCGAAGGATCAATAAGATGAATTCTGGCATCAGGAAAGGAAAGGCACTCCCTACAGTAGGAATGGGAGGGGCAAAGACAGAGAGGTGGGACCATGGCCCAGCATGGTCACTGACTGGGTGAGTGTAGCTGGAACAGCAGGAGATGATGCTGGTTTGGGGATAGAAGGCCCTGCTCCTGAAGAGCCTTGCTTTCCCCACTCAGGGGTATCTTGAGGGCCATGAGGGGCTACTTAGGAAAGTGACAGGAGCAGATTTCACTTGATCACCTGGAGACGGAATCCAATTCTAGGTTCCTGGCACCAGGAAGACAAAGCAGTACTGTGAATCTGAAAATGAAATCAACTTTATCATGCCCCACATGGAAGTTCAGTCGCACTCTTATTTTTGCTTGGCTTTTATGTAAAAGACCCAAGCCAATGAAACTGCCTGCCATTAGTCAAGATCAGAGTGAAACTTGTCAGAAAAACTTCCTTAAGTCTCTCACTGACACTACAAGTTATTGCCAACCTAAGAGCTCCTCCATAGAAACTGCCATTTGGAGACTGTCCACAGTGGGATTTCAGATAGGCTCCAACCCCCTACAGGAATCCCCCCTCCAACCCTGTCTCCCGGGCAATTATTACACACTTTCACGAAATGTTAGAGGGAGAAATGACTCCATTGTGGAAATCAAGTTTGAGGCCAGTTCTGACCTGGGCTGTGACTCAAGAGCCTTGTCTTCTGGACCTTTATTCTCTACGCTGTTGGTTCTCACTTTTTCTGGGTCCTGGACCCCTCTCAGAATCCAATGAAAACTGAACACTCACCCCGTAGAGGAGGAGAGGGGGACAGACATTATCACCAACAGAGAGATGCCCCTGTGGCTTCAGGGACAATATAACATGCCACTGATCTACCCAACCAGATGGTCACTCCCGAACCCCTTCCCAAGGCCAAGAAATTCTGGAGTGGTCATTTTTCACTGGTTTTAGAATGGCTGAAATATGCCAGGCATGGTGGCTCACACCTATAATCCCAGCACTTTGGGAGGCTGAGGTGGAAGGATCACTTGAGGTCAGGAGTTCGAGGGCAGCTGGGCAACATGGTGAAACCTTGTCTCTACTAAAAATACAAAAATTGTCTGGGCGTGGTGGCACATGCCTGTAATTCCAGGTACTTGGAGGGCTACAGTGGGAGGATCGCTTGAGCCTGGGAGGCGGAGGTTGCAGTGAGCTGAGATGAGGCACTCCAGCCTGAGTGACAGAGTGAGACTCTGTTTCAAAAAAGGAAAAAAAAAAATGATAGAAATACCACAGAGGTGGTATTGCCAGTGATTGTTTAGGGATATAAGTGTGAGGGACTATTTTGGCCAAGAGTTCTTTCTGTGGTTTGGGATGAATAGGACATGGAGTTTTCATTCTTTGTAGCAGCACAGGCAAGAATCCTGTTCTGTAAGGAGCAAGGAGAGGAACAAGACACTGAGAGTCCCTCCTGTACCCAAGGGCTTCCCAGAGTGGATACTGATTTTAACTGAACATGTGGCCTATAGCGTCAACCCTCCCAACGTTGTTTTCCATTAACAGGACTTCCAGGTCTTTGAGATCCCCCCACCACCAGCCAGATAATTGCCTGGCTGGGCTGCCCCCTTCTGGGGGCCCCACAAAATTCTTATTTGCAACTCTGGTTTCTCTGGCCAGCCACCAGAGCTTTGCAATAAAAGCATTATGTTGATGGAGAGAAGGCATGCCTGATCTTTGTCTGCTTCAGCTTAAAACCCTGCAGTAGTATCTACTGCCCTTAGGACTAAAATCAGTTTCTTTATTTTAGCCTAAAAGGCCCTGGCTTCATCTGCCTTCCAATTCCCCATCTGGGTCCCCTTTCCTCTCATTCTTGTACTCCCACTGATTTGATGGTCTCCGTCCAGAACACCCTTCTTCCCCAACTCTCTGCCTAACTAACTCCCCTTCATCCTTCAACACTTGCCTTCATTGGGGAACTCATGGAGACCTGGGCTTGGAGAGCTATTCCCCTATGGCCCCCTGTGCATCCCCTGGTGCCACATTCATTGTATTATTACTTGTGGTTGTGCCCGCCTCTCCCCATTTAAGATTCTTCCCCATGGGCACCGCAATGCTACTGTCTGATGTACTGCTGTGTCCCCCTCCCCTTGCACCAGTCCTGTGCATAGTAGGGGCTTGGTGAGAATCTATCCTATCTAATGAAAAAATGGAGCAGGGGGTTAAGAAAATGGACAGGCACAGCTAGGAAGGCACTTTATAAATGGCAAAGTGCTCTGCGGTGGTTTTTAATCAGAGTGTGCTGCACCTACTTGACTCTGTCTTCTTCTACCTGTGAGCTGGGGATACATCAGGTCCTGCCTGCGTCACAGGCCTGTGCCTGAAACAAAGGAGGTGGTCAACATAAAATGCATTAGAGGAAATCCAGTGAAATGCATCGTAACACACTTCTTCCTGACTCGAGAGTCTCGCCTCTTTAAAAATCTGCTCCCACAGCCAATTCTTCCCTACTCAGCCTACCTTCTCTCACCTGGAAACTCAACCTGATTAGCTCTGCATTTAGTCCGTCCTGCAGAGGGACACTCCGGGCTGGCTGAACGCTGGCCTCGTTTTTGCAGTGCAGGAGGAATCCTTGCTGGGCTGGAGTCAGCCTGCAGCCAGTGTTAGATTTTTTTAAGGGGCTTCTCCCTGTGGTCACAGACGACCTTTGCTTTTTCGCTGCTTGCCTCTGTGCACCTGTGCTCTTCCCAGCCCCAGCATCCCAACCGGGGCTTCATTTGGGCCACCTGGCATGTTCCAGGCATCTTCTCCACAGTGGAAGGGAAGATAGGATCTTCTGCTGAGGCTCCCGGGGACTTCTGAAGATATTCAGGGCCTGGAGAGGTGGAGGAAGGAGCTGCCTGGTTAACAGGTATTGACTGACCAGCGAGAATCCTGAACTATTTGGCAAGCTTTCCCTGCTAACCTCTAGATTGTGGCTGCTGGTTACAGACGTGCTCTGGGAATAGTGTGTGGTATGGCTTCCTGTCTTCAGGAAAGAAAATAGGAGCTTTTGGAAGGATCTGGGGTAGGTGATAGGATCAAAGGACAAACTAGAGAAGCATTTTAGGAAAAACAGGATCTCTGGGGATCTGGATGGTAGGAGCCCGCACACAAAAGCACCTAGGTACTCCTGCTGGGATGTGCTGTTGTTCAGTCTTAGAGTCAGTGGTGAGATTCTAGGGCAAGATGTAATTGTCCTGGCTTGAGTGCTACATCGTTGACCACAGCAGGGAGCTGCACACTCCGATGATTGTCCCACCATGACTATATCTGTTAGGGAAAGGTGGTTTCCCAAAGCAGAATCGGGGTGTAGTTGTTCCTACAGCAAGGAGTAAGGGATGCTGAGCAGCAAAGAATAGATGGTCGTCATAGTCACAGCCAGTTCTAGTTATCCTAGTGAAACCCCTCATGCCAGCCCTCCTGCCCTTGCACTAGAGAACCTGAGAGGCTCTTGGACAGCCATTCCGCCCTTGCTTCTTTGAGACTTGAGCACACGTCCTCAGCACCTTCAAAGGCTCTTCTGGGTCAGTCATGTTCTTGGGGTAAGGCTGGAATGTCTGTGTCTTCTGTACAGCTGTCTAAAAACACCTTCAACTCTATCTGTAAGTCCATATAACTGCCAATTACAGAATGCAGCCCACAGAAGAGGCCCTGTGTGGGTTGGGATGGGGCAGGAAATGGTGAGGGCTGCAGATTGCCCCTCCTGTCATGGGGCAGCCCAGAGCAAGTGGCCCAGTTCTCCAGAAACCACACAAAACTGGAACAGAACTCTGCTTCACATTCTGGCTCCCACCTCCACTAACCTCTGTCCTCTAACCGGGATGATTTCTCTTGGCAGCGGAAAAAAACACCTCTGGAATGATAAGCCGCCCTGCTCCAGGGAGGATGGAGTGGATCATCCCTCTGATTGTGGTATCAGCCTTGACCTTCGTGTGCCTCATCCTTCTCATTGCTGTGCTCGTTTACTGGAGGTAAGCCAGGCAGCACCTACAGCGTAGATATGGGGGCCAGATGCTGGCCAGGTTTTGCTCATGGGAGGGGAATCCCACGGCCTCTGCATTCAGGAAGGTGAGGTAGCTTAAGTGTTTCTGGTCTTGCCACCTGGGAGACCCTCTTGTCTCTGTTAGACGATGGCAGGGCCAGATCCACTTTGGAGGTCAAGGCACTTAATGGTGAGCTTCTGGGATTTAGTACCAAAGAGGTTTTTGTTTGAGAACCAAAGAGATCCAAGTTCAAATCCCAGCTCTGCTATTTGCTAGATAGATCCAAATCCCATGTCCACTTTGAATGTTAGTTTCAGAACCAGCAAAATGAGTTAACAAGTCATAGCATTTGCAGTTTTTCTGAGGTGATGCTTTACTTTGTTGTAGTCACATAACTCCTCTTTACCTCAGAATTTTTTTTCAGTCTTTCACTGAAAATTAAATTGGGCTATAAGAAAAATTTAGCATATTATGTGGTATTTAATACATGTAAGATTAAAATGGCAGATTGTAAGCTATCTGGACTCTCACTGCTTCCCATGGGAAGCCAGGTTGCAGCCTCTCTTTAGAAGTTGTGTTTTTTCAGCTGGACCATCTCAGCCAGTTCAGCTGAGCAACTCCGTCAAGCCCACTCAGTTGGCCTGGGTGCCTTCACCTCTCAGACTGATGTAGGAGGCTTCTGCCCTTTATCTGACAGGCTTCACCAGTGAGAAAAAGGTGTCATATTTTCATCTCTCCCTCCCTTCTTTCCATTCACTCAATTTTGAGCCCATAATGTGTGCCAGTCTTCTAGGCACAAGTGATTTCTGAAAAAGTGAATAAAACAGACAAAATCCTTACTATCATGGAGCTTACATTTTAGTGGAGGAGGCAGGCAATAAACAAAGCAAATAACTAAAACATGTAATTTCTAAGATGGTGGTAACTGGATAATGGAGAAAACTAAATCTGGAAAGGGGAGGGGCCCATGGGGGCCCAGCAGGAGTGTTCAGAGTGGTCAAGGAGATGATACCTGAGCAAGGACCTAAAGGAGGAGGGAACCAAATGGGCTCCACCTGGGGCAAGTTCCAAGTAGCGGAAACAGCACATGCAAAGGCCCTGAGGCAAGGGCATGCCTGGTGTGTACCAGGAACAGCCAGAGGTCAGTGGGGCTGAGACACGAGTATAGGGGTAAGGTGGCAGAAAAGGGTATCGGAAAGAAACAGGGTAGAGCAGGATCGGGTCATGCTGCACAGTCTTGTGGGCCATTGTTAATGCACTGCCTTTCACTCGAAGATGAGTAGGGTTTGGTACAGAAGAATGTTGTGATTTAACTTCAAGACTACTTGGCTGCTGTGTTGAATACAGACTGAAGAGGAGTGGGGGCAGAAACAGAGACCATTGGGGAGACCACTGGACTAGTTCAAGAAGGACACAATTGTGTCTCAGATGAGGGTAGCGGTGTAGGTGGTGATAATTCATTGCGTAGACATCTATTTTGAAGGTGGGAGCAACAGAATCTGCTGGCAGATTGGGTCTGTTCCTAATTGGCTGGAACAGGAGAATAAGGAAGGAGGTCATCTCAGGTTTCGTCAGGCGTCTGGCGGTAACCATAAGCCCTTTAGTGCTGCAGACCAGCAGGATTATGAAGTATGTTGTATTTTGGGGTGAGCATAGGAACACTAGACTCACCTCCATGTCATCCCTTCTCCAGGAAAAAGTGTTGTGCAAATATGTTTGAAGCCCATTGGTAAATTAGAGGCCACCTAGTGTGAGTTTAATCAGGTGAGGTTAACAAGGTCAGCATGCCTGTCTCATGGCTCTGCTCAGTCAGCACCGTTTGGTTTTAGTCTCAGGCTGTCACCACAGGGGAGCAGAGAAGTCCCACAGCTGCCACAGCATAAAGAAACACCTTGTACCCAGCAATTCTAGCAAAACCCTCCGGATTGTTTCTGACTGGCCCACCTTGGATCCTCTACCCCCTCCCAAAATGGATCACTGTGACCAAGAAGGACCATGGGGCCAAACAGGCATCCATATCCAGCCGGCCAAAACATGAGTATTTACTTCAGGTTTCTTATAGGGAAGGGCTGTGTCATGTAGTAAACAGCTTTAAAATCCTTCCATTCAAGATGTATTTTCCCTTTAGAAAATGACAACTGTTTATACTTCTGAAAAACTCAGTAAGTCCAAGTGGAAAATATGAATTGAATAATATCTTAATATTTCCTGTCTGAAATGTTTTTATGATGTTTATTATACAAGTATGCATATATTTCTTCAAAAGCTTCATTTAAAGTAACCAGAGCTTTAAACTTTATCCAACAGAGTCTGGACTTGAGCTTTTACCAGATTCCTAATCCCAGTAGCACAAAAAATGAGTGTGAAGAAGAAAATTCTTCTAGAGCAAGGAAAGTAAAATTAAATTAGTGTTAGGATGAATGAGTTGGCTAAGCATACAGCCTAGAGGGGACAAGGACCTTTTTTCTGTCCAACTTTTTAAAAATTATTAATGCGAAAGAAGGAAGCATTGGGGGGCTCACATAGAAAATTGGTAAATACAGAGGAGGCATGTGTTTCCCTTTGGCAATGCAGTTTTTTAGCTAGAACAACAGTGCTTCTCTTCTGCCTTTTGAGGCACAGTAAGACTGGATGATTGGCAAACAGACTTGTCATAAGTAGAGCATTGAGGCAGATCAAAACCACCTGGATCATTTCTTCAGGAGGCAGGCCTGGCACCAGGAGGTTCAAACCTGCTCACTGTGGCAGCAGTTTCTACCACAACCAAGGACTGGCCCTGTCCAGTTATTCTGATTTTTGAGTGTGTTTTCTCCAAGTTGTTGATACTACAACTTAATAGGTTCATGAAATAGTGGAAAACTACACTCAAGGTCTCTGAATTCTGTCTCTTCCAAGTCTCCCACTGTACAGTGGTGTTAGTGCTAATGTTTTCAGTGAGTCCTTTTTGAGTGCCAGGCGCTGTGCCAAGCACTTGGGTGGCACCATCTCATGTGATCCTCACAACAGAGCTGTATGGTAGGTACTATCACTGTCCTTTCTTTTTGAGCCACATTCTTTGACCAAGGAAGAGAATGAGAACTCACATTTGTTGAAAGCCTGCTGTGGGCCAAATAGTTGGCAATATCATCACCCACTGTGTTGCTCAGAACCCTTTTCTGTTGCAGTTGACAAAAATCCATTTCAAAATGCCTTAAGCTCAAGGAAAAAAAAAAAAAAGTTTGATTCATGGAATTGAGAAGTTCAGGAGCATTGGTCCTGGCTGGCTTTGTAAGATGGAACATCAGGACTTAGCTGGTTTGGTCTGTGTGTTTCTCTTGCCCTCGGTCTCTGGGATCTGCTCTCTGTGTGGTCTTCTCGCTTAGGCAGGCCCTCTGCCTGTTTCCACAGAGCAGCCTCTGGCCATGTTAGACTGATATGCCTCCACCCCAGTGGAAAGGGAATATTTCTCCTCTAATAGTTCCACTTAAGTCCTAACATGGCATCTCTTATTATTGACTTACATCATTTATCCATACCCTGGAGTCGTTTGGTGGTCAAAAGGATGGAACACTCTTGTCAGGCCTAGGTCTTATATTTAACTCTGGAGCCTAGAAGTAGGATCAGTGTCACTGCCATCAAAACCTTGGACTGAAGCCGAACAAGGGATGGTTGTCCAAAGGACCATCAAGACCTAAAAAAGTGAGTAGAAGGTTCAGCTAGGTATTCTGTTACTTAAAAAATTATAAAGCTGTTTCTATTACATGTGCACTGGAGCCATTTTCAGCTTCCTGTTATTTATGCAATGCTTACAGAGTTCCTGCCATGCATCCTGGTGAGCCTAGAGAGTTAGAGATGAGGTCCCCTGGCCCTCACAGTCTATTGGAAGAGGCAGATGAATAAATATAATAGAGTATGGGGAGTATTTGCAGAAGGGTAAATCCAAGTTGCTATAACAGCATATAGGAAGGGCTTCAACCCAACCTGGAATGGGGGTTGAGGTCAGGGAAAGCTCCCTGGAGGACCTGGGCCAAGCTGGAACCCCAAGCAGCTGTCAGCCAGGTGAAGAAGGTGGAAGAATGAAGCTGGGGAGGAAAAGCCTGGCCTACTGCAATCAGATACATGTGTCTCGGTGTTGTTGGAGCAGAGTGTGGGGACAGCAAGGGCCAGATCATGAGGGCCTCATCGAAGGGAGATATGCCATATCCTGAGGATGATGGGAAGGTATTTAAGGAGCCAAAACTGCAGGAGGGCAAGATCATAAAGAAACATTACTGTGTCTAGAGACTGTAACATGGGCCTATAGTCATGTAGCCTGGATTTGGAGCCACACTCCACCACACTGTCTTACCTATGCAGCTGTGGAGCATGTGTTTGTACCAGCAGTGCTGGCCTCTCTCAAGGTGTGAATTTGTTTTGGGGAGATTTTTATAAACTTATTTTGTGTATAAAGCACAGATTTACGTATATGAAAACAGCATTGTGCATTCATGGTATTAAAATTGGCACTGGGCAATTAGGGGGGAAAAGAGTCTAAAAGGGCCCCTTAGAGGAGGTGCCAATGAAAAACAGGTTGAGACACACTGCCTTAGACAAAGGCTTCTCCACCAACTTCAGTTTCCTCATCTGCAAAATAGTTAAGAAATGGGCCACAAGTTCACGTGAGGATTCAGTGCAAGCTGTGGAACATGCTTGTCCTGGTGCCTGGCACGTGGTGCATGTGCAAGCATTAGTTGTAGTGTTATACCAGATCTGACTTTAGGGAAAAATGGAAAATATAACTTGGGTCCTGGTATGCCTCAAATGAAGTTGTTTTTTTAATAAAGAAAATCAGATGTACAGATCTAAATGAATTTTGTCCTTTAAATGTCATCACATTGTATAGCTGTACACAGTTTCCAATATGTCCATTGCATACAACATGCTTGAAAATAACTTTTGGAATTTCTTTCTAGAGTTCATTCTTTTGAAGGATCTCAGTTGTGCAAAGTATTTATCCTAGAAATAGATAA